ATGTTGCTCTCAAAGTGCACCAGATTGATGCTTTTAACTTCAATATTTAAAAAAACATCTTCCCGAGGGAACATGCCCCCGGACCCCCCTAGAGGAGGTTAGGTCCCCCCCAGACACTTAAATCATGTTCACATGGATAGGATACTAAATACATTTGCACACATCTTGTGTCCATATCTTTCTGTTTTGGTGGTCATGCCACACCGTGCACGTGCATGCATACGTGAGTCATGGTGAGATATCTGGATTGGTTGCTTTTTATTTGCACAGCATGAAAGAAAGGTGAAATGAATGGGCTGTGATTTTAGTTTTTTTAAGCAGAGGTTGAGTTCAATAATTTGTACGACCCTCGGAGGATGTTGTAAAAATTGTAAATAATAATAAAACCCCTTGATTTATAACTTAACATCTCTGTCTCCTATTGATCAGAGTATATTATAAAGAATAGCAGTTAATTGAAGCATTATAGCACAGATGGTATATTACGCTGTTTTTTTTCTGCTTCGAATAGTTCTCTTTTTTCACCTACCTGTGTTTGCATCACTGTAACCAATGAGCACCTGCATGTGTGTATGAGAATAGCCCTGACACCATTTCAGCCCAGATCTAAACTCCTGGCAGGACAAGCTCCAGCTCAATTCTCGCACTGAATTTAAAAAAAGCGAGTGAGGGACTGCAATATAAGAGGGAAATGTATGGCGCGTTTCCACTGCAGCGGGGTAGCCCCGTTTAAGCGTCCCTAAGCGTCCTCGCTCAGGCCTCGGGCTGCCTCGCTGGCCGTCCCAGGCCGTGGCGCATTTCCATTACAGTTTAGGACCTGGGGTAGCAACGCAGTGTAGGCGGGGCGATCAGCTTTGTTTTTGTTCACATTTCGAGTTGTTCCGTCGAGCTCCCGCTGGATTTTATCATCCCCAATGAGATGAAGGAACGTCGTCACCTCCTCGGTCGACCACGGTGTGCTTTTCTTATTAGACGTAGCCATTTTTGTAGCTCATCCGTTTACAAAATGCTGTTTATAAAAATGCTGCAAGCTTGCTTCTAAATATATATGCGACGCTAGGGATGAACTTGCGCGCGATCTTGTGACGATTCTCTCTGACCAATCAGCAGTCGAGAGTGTTGACGTCACTAGTTCAGCCCTGGCCCTGGTCTGAGGGAACCACGATTTTATGAGGCCGGAAAAAGAGGGAAAAAGTACCCGCTGGCCGGTACTAGGCTATATGGAAACGCCACCAAAAACCGGCCTGGCCGCTTGAGGACGGTTAAGGACGCTTAAACGGGGCTACCCGCTGCAGTGGAAACGCGCCAAAAGAGAAACTTTAAAATTGTTATGATGTTTAAAGACTGATATTGTTCTATAATCGTCTGAAACTGTTAAGTCATGATGTGAAACGGTTAACAAAAAAAAAGGGAAACTTTATTTTATTTATCTAAAATTAAGCACTTTTAAGATGCACATATTTTCAAAAGCTATTTTATTTATTTTCTCTATTTTATTTTTAAATGCAGCCAGAGAGGAACATTACACATATCCACAGTATTACTGTATATCTGTATAGTTCAATGCTAATTGACAATAAATATTGTTTTTTAATTGTACTTTCTTTATTTGATTGGCAGTCAGTTGTTGATTACATGCAGACGTTAAGCTGCAGGCTACTTCAATATATATCACACTAATTCATAAAGCAAGTTAGACATTTTGATGTTCCGGACCTTTGCACATTTTCTCTAACTGGACCTCGTTGAATATTAGTTGAATACCCCTGAGCACGACCAATCATCTGAGCCGGCCGGCTAAAATAACTGGATGGCCTACCTGCCTGTCAGCCTTCACAAACTTATCTCGTGCCCTCATTGGTCATGTGCGCGTTCGTGTGTGTTGGAGGAGGGGCTCTGTAAGGAAGTCTGAAGGAAGTGGCAGATTTTTTCCAGCTGTGTATTTTCAAATTCTAGCGCACTCAAGCTGGTTTCTCCAAAATGACCTACCCCATCTTTAAGGTATGCCCAGCTCAGTCTAAACTTATTTTAAATCACATATAAACTTAACATCTGTAAACTTTAAATTGACATACAGCTTGTAAATAATCCCCAGTTGCGCTTTTAAAATGTAGTTTCTTTGTGTTGCAGTCTCGTATTTCACAAGACATTGGACCCCAGCCTCTATACACAATCTTAAACAATACGGTGGCAGAAGATGCAATAAATAAATTAGAGCTGACCTATCTCAGATGGATTTGTTTGTTCTTAAACCCACTTCAAAATCAACTCAATTTCCTCTGCGCCTCTCGTTGCTCCTTCAGCACTCGCAGACGGAATTGAATATATTCTCCTTTCAGCCCGGTGATGTATTCTCCTGTCTCCTCTGTCACTATAGATTCAAAATGCTAATAAAGATCTGTGTCTGTTTTCCTTCACACCTGATTTAGTTGGGAGAAAACCCAGTGACAGGACAATATCAGAGCAGCCACCTCCAAAGAGACGCAGAGACTGAGCAGTGGAAGCAGGATGCTCTGAATGTGTCACACAGGTTGTTCAAACGACAAGCTCTATCACCAGTGAACACACACACACACACACACACACTTTGCTTGTTGTCTTTAATGCTGAACAACATTGACATTAGTCCCATGTGGCAGCCTGCTATATTTAATGATTCACGCACTAACACACAGAAGCACACGTGCTGTTTGGAGACGGTGTGCGCCTGACAGGTTGTCCAATTCACAGAACAACTCTGGATTTCCAACTGCTCTCCTGTCAGCCAGCCTTTGAAGTGTCAATCATTCCCAGCAGTGATGATAGTAATTTCAGCAGTCAGAGATTCTCCTTCTCATCAGCAACAATAGCGGTGGCATATATAAAATGCTCTGTGGCTCTTCCAGTGTGGGTTTGAATTTAAATATTTGCTTAGCTCAAACTTGAGAACAGAAATAAAGAACAGGAGAGAGTTCCACATTTCAGTGAAGCCCGGATATGAACAGCTTTATGTTCCTAGTCCAGATTGCATTGTTTTATTTATGCAAACTCAATTTTACACCAAGAACTAACTAAGAAAGCAAAGAAGATCCAGCTGACACAAACAAAATGTGTTTTTTTTAAGCACACAGTAGGAAGTCATTTTGTTATGCTGGAATGCCACGATGAATATTAAAATGCATGAGATCTAAAGTTTATGTTTGGCCTTGAAGACAGTAAAATAGACTTTTATTAATCCCCGTGGGGAAATTGTTGCTCTGCATTTGACCCATCCTGTGTTAGGAGCAGTGTGCTGCCATTTTGAACGCTGCACGGGGAGTCTTGCCGGGACTTGAACTGGTGACCTTCCAGTTGCCAAGCCAAGTCCCTATCGACTTCGCCACCACCACCACCCCAGCAGTTTTAGTAACGGTGCTATATAGCAAAAATCTACGTTCGGTCTCAAAAGGAAGATTTTACGATACGATTTAAAAGCTCCAGAACAACTCACCTTGAGGTGAGTCAATTAAAACACATTTTTATTTTATCGACTTTGCATGGCAAAACAAATCCTTTTTTTTCTTCAGTGAGATATCTCATGGTCTTCATACACCTGTTGTCACATGACCAAAGTTCCATACTGGTACTTACTAGCTGAAAACAGAAAAGCTGCTGTTCAAGACTGAGACCTGGTTAAAAGCTCCAGTAAGTGCACCTTGACTTAAATTGAAGATGTAAAAAATAAAACGCCTACATTTTCATCTCTGTTCATAAGTCTTATGATATTATACTTTATAATGAGAAATCAATCCTCCTTAATGCACGTTAAGAACATTTTATTGATCTGTCTCCCTATTGAATTGTTTATCATCCCCTGATGTTTGCTTGATCTATGTTACCCTCAGTTTATGAGGCTGTACTTTTTCAAACACAAAAGAGAGATGGTCCAGCACTCGGCCATGAAGTCGGTCAGATATGTGTTTTTAGCTCGTGGGAATAATGGCCTTGTGACGCCGCATGTCTTTCATTATTATTTCAGTGTGACTGATGAGTCTGATGTCACGAGCAGACAGGGAGACAGAGATTGAAAAGTAAGAATCACAGCTGCCGTCAGTGGAGGGTGAAGGTGAGTCACTGGCCTCCCCTCCATGTTTCATCTTCATGTCTGAGGGCTAACACACACACACACACACACACACACACACACACACACACACACACACACACACACACACACACACACACACACACACACACACACACACACACACCAGGATTTCCGCTAAGATATTTTCTCGCCGGTCAAATGTCCAGACAGAATTTATTTTACCGGACAAATTTGAAACTTAACGGTCATGTTTCAATAATAATAATAAGAATTGTGTAGCAGAGTTTCCGTTAGCAGGTAATTACCGGATTAGGACCGGATATGCTGATGTTTAAAACTCAGTTAATGGGAGTCATTTTTATATTGCTTCAGTTTATAATCGTAACAGATGGGAAAAATTCAGATTAATTTTTCAATAAATGATTCCGCAAACAACATAATTATTACATTCAAATAAACTACTTGTAGTAGATGAAGTACATTATTCAAAAGTTTACATTAACTTTGAATAATAACACGGGAGAAACGGATCCTCTCTTTTCCCCTCTCCCTCCCTCTCTCTCCTGACAGCCCGTCAGTTCCTCATGCAGCTCACTAAACAGTGGGCGGGGCTTCAGGTGATTATGCAGCAGCTGATCTGATCTCTCGCGTCCTGCGTTTATGTCCTTATCGATCAGATCCAGCTCTCCTGATCGGCCTTTATAGAGAGCACAGATCAAACTATTAAGAGTGAATATCGGCCGATAATGATCGGCGGCCAATCGATAGGAGCATCGGACATTTTGACCGGCAGGTTTTGAATTTACCGATTTTTATTACATTTTACCAGCTAAAAACCGGTAATTACCGGCTAACGGAAACCCTGACACACACACACACACACACGCTTTTACCTTGTTTTTGTTATCTATAGAAAAACTACTGAATGCAGTACTGTTGGTAAACATCTTTTATTGAGTGGAATGACACATTTCCATCATGTGCAAACAAATCCTATTAACAACATCAGTGCTAAATTATTAGTCAATTAGTCCTTCAAAAGGAAATACATTTTTAACAGTTGAGTAACCCTTTGAAAGGCATGTTCGACATGATAAATGGGACTTCTTCTGAGAGTACAGATTGATACCACTGTCATGTCTGTACAGTAAATATGCAGCTGAGTCTGCAGCTGGTTAGCTTAGCATAGAAACAGAAATGAGAGCCAGGCAGTGGTGGAAGACGGATTAAAATCCTATATCAGTTCAAATATAAAATAGTCCTAAAAATACTCAAATAAATGTTCAGAATTCAAGATGTTACTTAACTAGTTTTATCAGCAACATCTACCTAAAGTATCAGAAGGAAAAGACAGCGATCTGCATGATGGCTCCTCTCAATGCGGTAGGATTTTATATAATTCTGTTTTTATAACATACAACATACACGAGACAGTATTTAAGGGATTCATCAATGAAGAGCCAAATTGAGATAAGCGTCAAATAACTTTTCCCTCCTTGGAATATAAGCAGAAAGTAGTATAACAGAGGAATACTCTAGTACAAGTTTGACATACTTGTACTTTACTTATGACAGTACTTAGTTAATATACTTGGTTATATTACACCACCATCCAAAGATCACTAGGTAGTACATTATATTTTAAGTTTTCTTCTATAAAACACAGGTTGATGTTTTATCTTTAGTGCTTTTGGCTGGGACTAAAAGTAGTCAGGCATGTAAGCCCCCGGTAAAACAGCCAATGGTCTTGTCTTTCAATTTTCACTTCATGCTAAGCTACTGTAAGCATCTGCTGGCTTCAGCTACATTGTTACTGTACAGATATGAGAGATAAGTCAAACTGAATATCTGCATGAAGAGAGTAATACCAAACCTTATCCATGAAGCATGAAACATAGTGTTCACTGGTGTCACCTTGTTGATTGTGAGGCTTTTCTCTGTTATACAGTTATACCAATTTAATATCTTTGTCTGTTGTTTGTTCAAAAGCAGCAGTCTGAAAATGTCACCTTGGGCTCCGGGAAATGGTGACTAATTTCTGACATTCAACAATTAATCTAAAATGAAAATAGCTTGCAGCCCAAAAAGACAAGCTGAGTGTGTGTATCACTCCGCTGATAAACACTGCTGTGCACACAGATGAGTAAACCAACACATCTCTGTGTCTCTCCTCGAGCAGCAGGACTCTCAGTACAGTAGCATCACTCCTGCAGCTCTTTGTGATGGATGAAAAGTAATCGCCGCGTCTACGATGTGTGAGCGCCTCTGTGTCTGACCCACGGCATTCCTCCTCTCATTACTTACATTACAGAGATGAGGGGGAAATCAATACGGACTTGGGACCAGAATCATTAAGATAAGCACAGGTCTCTACACTTTCTGCAGACACCTGATTCTTATTCATGGAGGAGAAAATAGAGGATCTCAGATAGAGGAAGGGCTAGTCTACAAGCCGCATACACTCCATCAAATGAGAGGAGAGTGCTATACAACACAATCAAGAGACGAGAAGACGGACACATCACATACTCATCAGTTTAACAAAAAACTGCAATTTTCCTGCGAGGAGATACAGGCGCTGTAGAGTAGGATGGATGGCGCCGCTGCATCCCTGCTCTCCATTTTAATCTCCCACTTGTCTTGTGTGACATGGCTGTGTATTTACATGGAAATCTGGCTTGTAGCTTTATAAATTGCACTATTAGGTGCTGACAGGAGCCCACAAGGCCTTATGATACATACGTACGGGCCAGGAGGCACACACACACGAGATAAAAACTTTCCAGTATGTCACTCAGGCGCGGTGCAAAGTTTGACTTGTTTGACACTTGTGAGTTTACAATGCGCACATCTGAAAGGTAGTCAAAATGAAAGTCAGAAAAGTGATTCATACCGGATTTGTTGCACGGCACAAAGAATCGGATCCAACTTGACCTCTTCACATTTTGAGTACAGAGAGAATTATGGTGATGAATCATACTTGGACTTTAACTACACTATTATAGTTATTCATGTGGCACTGTCTCCAGCACCACATTGTTAGATTAGGTACATTGCAATGGTATTTTTCTTTCAGAGCACTGTGAGCCTTGAATTCTGCAAAGGTCCTTCATCCAGCAGAGGCTTTGTGGAGAGCCCAAACTCAAGTTAGTATCCGCTGCGATCCCTCAGGTACACACACACACCCACAGATACACACACACGAGGAGGATCCACAGTAAGACACTGCATGCATTGAGAGTGTGTAATGATGTTTCTCTTTGTATAAAATCACTTTACAAAGTTGTACGATGGATGTTCAACTTTGAACTCAGTAAACCGAACACACTGCTGGAGCTGGAGAAATGTTCGCACCAAACATCCAGCAGGATTCTTCTTCTGTGGTAACTATATCTTGCCTTCTTCATGTTTCATCCTTCTCTGATAAGTGTCCAGCAGCCTTCAATGCAAACACTTCCCCATCTTTAGTCTTTTTCCTAGATGAATCTCTAAAGTACTTTTCTCCCTCCCAACACAGGTCACGTCTTCTGGGGTACCAGGGGCGCCGCGGTGGCTGTGGCTTCTAGAGTCTGGTTGGCTGGGAGCGGAGGGGGTGTCCAGTCGGGCTGGTAGAAGTGGATGTCAAAAGTCCGAGCCCACTTAGCAAAGACCCTCTTCTCTGTGATGAAGCGGTGGTGGCTGCCCCTCCGCCCGCGCTCATGGGAGATGTACATGGCGCACTCGTCTGGACCCCGCGGCTCGTAGTAGTGGTACGGGACGGAGTGTTGCTGCGGCTCCCTGCAGAAATACAGAATAATTATAATACGTTTATTTAGTGTTGGGAAAATACTGAATGTACTCTCCCAATATCAGAGTCCACATGGTAACAAAGGTATCCCAACTGTAGCTGTGTACATGACAATAGTTGTACCAAATGCTCTGTACTGTATGTGATGACTACTTCCATTCTTGCAAGGATAATAAATACATGTATCCTGATTATTGAAGCTCAAGCTGGTGACGAGTGAACATTTAGTATAGCACCTTTCACAGAAATAGAATTCACAAGCCTTCTACAGAGACAGCAGAGCGGGTGTCAATAGGGGGGGGGCTCCGTAGTGTGGAGCACCACTTGAAAGATACGGTCACCTTTAGTAGCAGAGGGGGTTGACATTTAAAAACGCTTTGAGTCACTTCAGCTTCAGTGTTTTTTATGTATTGTTTAAAGAGGTGGACTGATTCATTTATTTGTTCGTCTCTGCATGGATTACTTAACCACATTTAATAGCTTTTTAAATGCCACCTGCAGCTCATGACTAAATGAAAAAGACAAATGAAGAAACAAAGTTTAAGCATGAATAATGAAAGTTATGACAAAAGAGCCTCCATTCAAAGGGCACGAACAGCCAGCGTTTTATATTCACACGTTACATTATCACATCATGTATGAGTTCTCTTCTTACATCGGGTGGTCTATACAAAGATGTGTTACTAATTGCTGCCTGATTTCAAATATGTAAATCCCACTCCCCGGGATACTTATCATGCACAAACTCTACAACTATAAATGTGGCTTTTATTCTGTTGTTAATCTAGGTATAGATGACTATTTCTTATCAATGTTGATTCAGTAAAACATGTTTAATGAGGATTCAAAAATGTACCTCGTTGGATTTTTTTGGAATGTGATTATGCTTTTTTCCAACCAGAATATGCACCGCACATGCATACACAACAACAAGTCACAGTATAGTAAGTTAAAACATGTCTAAAATGATGGGAAATGTCATTATATACATGTCAAAAAAAGTTTCATAGTATTGTAGGTCGAAAACAAATGTCATAATATAGTATGTCATAAAAAGAAATAAAAAAGGTATCGTAATAAAAGAAAATGTAATATTGGTGATTGGATTTAGTTTACAAAAAGTCAAAGTAAAGTGTCTGAGAAAAGTAAAAAGGTCAGTATAGTTTTCAGATTGGAAGCTACAGTAAGCTAACCCAGCTAGACCTCAGGCTATTCCACTACCCAGCATGCACCAGGCTGATGTGCTCTTCTGTCCGACCGCTGGAAGAAGCACAGACTTAAAGGTCACCTATTATACTGTTTTTCATCAATATATTATAGGTCTCAGATATATACAAACATGTCTCTGAAGTGTTTGGCTCCAAACACCAAACAGATCATTGCATTACCCATAATCCCCTCTGTTTCAGCCCTTCTTCAAAAGTGCTGATTCTCTGTCTGTTACTTTAGATGAAAATAAGGAGCCGCTCCCCACGCCCCTCTGAGAGAGATTTGGTTAAAAAGAACACAATGGTGCTCTAGGAGGAGATTCAGGAGATAAGGTGGGGGGGGGGGGGGGGGGGGGTACCATGGTTGCTGATTGGCTAATGGTTACTCAAGCCAAAACATCGTTATGACATCATAAAGTGGGCAAAATCTGATAAGCTCATTTTCAGACAGGTTTTTATAGAAATGGATCAAAAAGAGAGAGAATCTTTTTTCCTGAAACTTTCAGAGTCTCTTTCCACAGAGGGGACACATGTTGATGTAGAAGAGACATGAAGAAGAGGGGACACATGTTGATGTAGAAGAGACATGAAGAAGAGGGGACACATGTTGATGTAGAAGAGACATGAAGAAGAGGGGACACATGTTGATGTAGAAGAGACATGAAGAAGAGGGGACACATGGTGATGAAGAAGAGACATGAAGAAGAGGGGACACATGTTGATGTAGAAGAGACATGAAGAAGAGGGGACACATGGTGATGTAGAAGAGACATGAAGAAGAGGGGACACATGTTGATGTAGAAGAGACATGAAGAAGAGGGGACACATGTTGATGTAGAAGAGACATGAAGAAGAGGGGACACATGTTGATGTAGAAGAGACATGAAGAAGAGGGGACACATGTTGATGTAGAAGAGACATGAAGAAGAGGGGACACATGTTGATGAAGAAGAGACATGAAGAAAAGAGGACACATGGTGATGTAGAAGAGACATGAAGAAGAGGGGACACATGTTGATGAAGAAGAGACATGAAGAAGAGGGGACACATGGTGATGTAGAAGAGACATGAAGAAGAGGGGACACATGGTGATGTAGAAGAGACATGAAGAAGAGGGGACACATGTTGATGTAGAAGAGACATGAAGAAGAGGGGACACATGTTGATGAAGAAGATACATGAAGAAGAGGGGACACATGGTGATGTAGAAGAGACATGAAGAAGAGGGGACACATGTTGATGTAGAAGAGACATGAAGAAGAGGGGACACATGGTGATGTAGAAGAGACATGAAGAAGAGGGGACACATGGTGATGTAGAAGAGACATGAAGAAGAGGGGACACATGGTGATGTAGAAGAGACATGAAGAAGAGGGGACACATGGTGATGTAGAAGAGACATGAAGAAGAGGGGACACATGGTGATGTAGAAGAGACATGAAGAAGAGGGGACACATGTTGATGTAGAAGAGACATGAAGAAGAGGGGACACATGTTGATGTAGAAGAGACATGAAGAAGAGGGGACACATGTTGATGTAGAAGAGACATGAAGAAGAGGGGACACATGTTGATGTAGAAGAGACATGAAGAAGAGGGGACACATGTTGATGTAGAAGAGACATGAAGAAGAGGGGACACATGTTGATGAAGAAGAGACATGAAGAAAAGAGGACACATGGTGATGTAGAAGAGACATGAAGAAGAGGGGACACATGTTGATGAAGAAGAGACATGAAGAAGAGGGGACACATGGTGATGTAGAAGAGACATGAAGAAGAGGGGACACATGGTGATGTAGAAGAGACATGAAGAAGAGGGGACACATGTTGATGTAGAAGAGACATGAAGAAGAGGGGACACATGTTGATGAAGAAGATACATGAAGAAGAGGGGACACATGTTGATGTAGAAGAGACATGAAGAAGAGGGGACACATGGTGATGTAGAAGAGACATGAAGAAGAGGGGACACATGGTGATGTAGAAGAGACATGAAGAAGAGGGGACACATGGTGATGTAGAAGAGACATGAAGAAGAGGGGACACATGGTGATGTAGAAGAGACATGAAGAAGAGGGGACACATGGTGATGTAGAAGAGACATGAAGAAGAGGGGACACATGGTGATGTAGAAGAGACATGAAGAAGAGGGGACACATGTTGATGTAGAAGAGACATGAAGAAGAGGGGACACATGTTGATGTAGAAGAGACATGAAGAAGAGGGGACACATGTTGATGTAGAAGAGACATGAAGAAGAGGGGACACATGGTGATGTAGAAGAGACATGAAGAAGAGGGGACACATGTTGATGTAGAAGAGACATGAAGAAGAGGGGACACATGATGATGTAGAAGAGACATGAAGAAGAGGGGAAACATGTTGATGTAGAAGAGACATGAAGAAGAGGGGACACATGTTGATGAAGAAGAGACATGAAGAAGAGGGGACACATGGTGATGTAGAAGAGACATGAAGAAGAGGGGACACATGGTGATGTAGAAGAGACACGAAGAAGAGGGGACACATGGTGATGTAGAAGAGACACGAAGAAGAGGGGACACATGTTGATTTAGAAGAGACACGAAGAAGAGGGGACACATGTTGATGTAGAAGAGACACGAAGAAGAGGGGACACATGTTGATGAAGAAGAGACACGAAGAAGAGGGGACACATGGTGATGTAGAAGAGACACGAAGAAGAGGGGACACATGGTGATGTAGAGGAGACACGAAGAAGAGGGGACACATGGTGATGTAGAAGAGACATGAAGAAGAGGGGACACATGTTGATGTAGAAGAGACATGAAGAAGAGGGGACACATGGTGATGTAGAAGAGACATGAAGAAGAGGGGACACATGTTGATGTAGAAGAGACATGAAGAAGAGGGGACACATGTTGATGTAGAAGAGACATGAAGAAGAGGGGACACATGGTGATGTAGAAGAGACATGAAGAAGAGGGGACACATGTTGATGTAGAAGAGACATGAAGAAGAGGGGACACATGTTGATGAAGAAGAGACATGAAGAAGAGGGGACACATGGTGATGTAGAAGAGACATGAAGAAGAGGGGACACATGGTGATGTAGAAGAGACATGATGAAGAGGGGACACATGGTGATGTAGAAGAGACATGAAGAAGAGGGGACACATGTTGATGTAGAAGAGACATGAAGAAGAGGGGACACATGTTGATGTAGAAGAGACATGAAGAAGAGGGGACACATGTTGATGTAGAAGAGACATGAAGAAGAGGGGACACATGTTGATGAAGAAGAGACATGAAGAAGAGGGGACACATGTTGATGTAGAGGAGACATGGAGAAGAGGGGACACATGTTGATGTAGAAGAGACATGAAGAAGAGGGGACACATGTTGATGTAGAAGAGACATGGAGAAGAGGGGACACATGTTGATGAAGAAGAGACATGAAGAAGAGGGGACACATGTTGATGTAGAGGAGACATGGAGAAGAGGGGACACATGTTGATGTAGAGGAGACATGGAGAAGAGGGGACACATGTTGATGTAGAAGAGACATGAAGAAGAGGGGACACATGTTGATGTAGAAGAGACATGGAGAAGAGGGGACACATGTTGATGTAGAGGAGACATGGAGAAGAGGGGACACATGTTGATGTAGAAGAGACATGAAGAAGAGGGGACACATGGTGATGTAGAAGAGACATGAAGAAGAGGGGACACATGTTGATGTAGAAGAGACATGAAGAAGAAGGGACACATGGTGATGTAGAGGAGACATGAAGAAGAGGGGACACATGTTGATGTAGAAGAGACATGAAGAAGAGGGGACACATGTTGATGTAGAAGAGACATGAAGAAGAAGGGACACATGGTGATGTAGAGGAGACATGAAGAAGAGGGGACACATGGTGATGTAGAAGAGACATGAAGAAGAAGGGACACATGGTGATGTAGAGGAGACATGAAGAAGAGGGGACACATGTTGATGTAGAAGAGACATGAAGAAGAGGGGACACATGTTGATGTAGAAGAGACATGAAGAAGAGGGGACACATGTTGATGTAGAGAGACATGAAGAAGAGGGGACACATGTTGATGTAGAAGAGACATGAAGAAGAAGGGACACATGTTGATGTAGAAGAGACATGAAGAAGAGGGGACACATGTTGATGTAGAAGAGACATGAAGAAGAGGGGACACATGTTGATGTAGAAGAGACATGAAGAAGAGGGGACACATGTTGATGTAGAAGAGACATGAAGAAGAGGGGACACATGTTGATGTAGAAGAGACATGAAGAAGAGGGGACACATGTTGATGTAGAAGAGACATGAAGAAGAGGGGACACATGGTGATGTAGAAGAGACATGAAGAAGAGGGGACACATGGTGATGTAGAAGAGACATGAAGAAGAGGGGACACATGGTGATGTAGAAGAGACATGAAGAAGAGGGGACACATGTTGATGTAGAAGAGACATGAAGAAGAGGGGACACATGTTGATGTAGAAGAGACATGAAGAAGAGGGGACACATGGTGATGTAGAAGAGACATGAAGAAGAGGGGACACATGGTGATGTAGAAGAGACATGGAGAAGAGGGGACACATGGTGATGTAGAAGAGACATGAAGAAGAGGGGACACATGTTGATGTAGAGGAGACATGAAGAAGAGGGGACACATGGTGATGTAGAAGAGACATGAAGAAGAGGGGACACATGGTGATGTAGAAGAGACATGGAGAAGAGGGGACACATGGTGATGTAGAAGAGACATGAAGAAGAGGGGACACATGGTGATGTAGAGGAGACATGAAGAAGAGGATTTTGCATAACAGGTCCCCTTTAAGGAATACTACAGTTTTTATTTTGCCTTGTTTGTTTTTCAGCATTTAACGAAAAACTGCATTTCATTGTGCAATCCTGTGTTGCAGAATGACAGGAAATGATCCCTGTACTAAAGTCGTGGTAGAGTATGTCATAAAGTAATGTAATTCAAATGTTATGCTGTAGTATGTCATTAAAAGTCATGCTACATTAATAAACATACTTAGCAGAAAGTCACTGTCTACCCTTCATTAAGAATTTAAATAATGTAAAATGTCGACAAAACACATTATGATTGTCAGTTGGATCACATCCAGTAACATCTGCAGACTTCACTTGTAACGACTTATAGTGATTGCCAAATATGAGCTTAGACAACCATTTGTTCAAAGAAATGAACCGACATCTCTCTCCTCATTATAAGATTGGACTTGTGCCTATACCCAAAATGATTTAATCAATCAGCAGCGGGAACACAGATATACTGAGCATTTTACAGTTTGTTCTTTTTTATTGAGAAATATAATAAGATTTGTTCCTTGTCCAATCAAATCCCCCAATTAAAGCGTTGGCTGAGATGAGCTGTAATTTCAAACCATCAAACTCGACTAATGAGACGCTTGTTGAGTTTGTTGCTATAGGAGCAGGACAGTCCCCCTCAGCTATGTATCCCATAATCCTTTGCATGTGTGCTAAAGGGGAGCAGTGTCATGGTCATGTTATTTTAAACTGCTCAGTGAAAAGAGAGGGAAATATTATTGTGTTCTGAGATTTATGAAAGGTAAAAAATCCCCTTTTCTTTTTTCAAAATACTCAGTGGGAAAAATATCAGTGGGTCTGACCTTGGATTATTTAACCTGGATTTTGGTTTTGTGTTCACTCTGTTTTAAAGTAAGTTCCATTTTGTTTGTAATTGTCTGATTATTTCCATTTCCTCCACATGGCCCGTACTATTATTTTTTCAACCTGAAAGAATCCTAATGTGTCCTTGAAAAGTTGAAATAAAGAAAAGGAAAAAGGATTCCAGTTGCCCCTCAAGCCTCTCAAATGGGCAAACACTCAAATAAATGCCAAAAACCCAGAGAACTTGACAATACTTATCAGAATAAAAGTATGTTAAATAACACTGCTACCGAGTTAATAACTCTACTTTACTCAGTGGAGGCTCGTCCATTGAGGAGAGGGAGGACCATCCTCCCTACAATTTCAGAGAAAAATAAACTTTGAAGAGAACAATAAATACACCTCAATTTAAAAGATAAGTCTGTTAAAATACAGATAATAGCCCTGGCTTTGGGACTGAAATGGGGCTAGAGAGGACGAGCCTGGGCGGGTTTAGCCAGAGGCTCTGGATTGGGCGCCTATATCATCAGTGAACCAATCAGCGGATCTGACTGCGCATCAGAGTGTTGATGGGGAGGGTCATCAGCGATATCAGAGTTTTTTTTAACCGGGGAACAGGGGCGCTGCGCCCTCTTACCAAAATCAATTCCTTGAATTAGGCTTTGATTATGTTCTGGCCCGCCATCTTGCGGCTCAGCAAAAATATTGGCCCAAGGCCAAACTTACTTGCCTACCCCTGCTGTACAGTATGTTGAACAAAGCTTCTTCACACACTGTGCAATGATGTGGCCATACAGAGGAGCAGAGTGAGAGCCCTGCTCTCTCTTTTATCTCACATGCACACAAATACTAAAACTGTGTGAGAAGAATTATTCTTCATTTTTACTAATCTTCAGGCAATTTAAGCAATCAGAAATCATCTCCAGTCACAGTGACATTTTATCTATCAGCTGCCTGAATACATTTAGTTTGAATCTTTCTTATCAGGGCGATGTGCTGCTATGAATTTCTATCCACTTAGAGCGACTGCATTTACACCTCTGCTCAGAGATGGCAAAAGTACACACATCCTTTACTCAAGTAGAAGTACAGATACACGTGTTTAAAAATACTCTGGTAAAAGTAGAAGTATTGACTAAACTTCTTTACTCAAGTAAAAGTAAAGAGGGCTTTGAAATGTACTTCAGTAAAAAGTACCCATAACTAGCAGCTGTTTTAAAGAGTACCTGACCTCCCTTTATATTAATAGAACAATAATGTCATTGTTAGCTAATGAATGTTTCCATGCTGAACAACGGCAACAAGACAACGTTTTCATTGGTCCCTCTTCTTTAGAGAAGCCTCAGTGATGGAGTTAGAGAGCTGATGGTGTTTCACATGCAGCTCCACAGCTCACCTGCAGAAGTCGGGGGCCACCATGCCGTACACGTTGATCCGGTCACACAGCTCCAGGGCGATGGTCATCGTGAACCAGCCGGTGCTCAGCCAGGAGTTAGAGACTCTTCTGCAGAGGAGAGAGGATCAGGCAGTTAGATGGATTTCATGCGTGGGAGATCACGAGGATTAAAAATGTACCTCGTTGGATTTGTATGGAATGTGATAAACTGGGATAGATATTTAGAAAATCTCACATTGGCATATTATGGCAGAATAAAGATTTATCTCGATCCAGAGGTCGATTTTTCAGACTGCAAGATCATTCTTCGCAGCTTCATTAAAATACAAATCTATCCTACGTATCGATGGATACAAATGAACCCTATAAAATAATCAAACCCTCAATCAGAGAGCAGTCTTGGTTTGCATGTGGTGCACAAAGTAGAGAAGACAAAGCTTCAGCTGCAGAACCATCTGCTTCACACTGGAGAGTTTTCAGTCTAGCCCCGAAGAACTGAGCAGAGTTTTCTGAGAAATGCTATTACGAAAGAAATATGAAATTATTTTTACATTGCATTAGATAGTCTCTCTACATTTAAATGCCCATCAGAGAGACCCGTCTCATAGGGTTTCTGTCAGATGAAGTAACATAACAGCCTGACTATCATGCATTTTTCAAGAATCCCTTGTTGGTTTTGAATAGATTAATGCCCCGGCCACACGAGGACGAAAACGGTCGTTTGCGTTAGTGTTTAGTGTCATATAGAACGTTCGGCCACACGAGGACGACCGAATACGGCACTAAACGACTGCGGAAACGATAACGGGTCCCAAGGTGGATTGAACGGCATATGCAACGCTCTGGGGGGTCCAACGGCTCCGTGTGTACGCCCTATACGATCATTTTCTGATAATGATGAGGCAATAGCCCCGCCTCTCCCCACCTCTGCTGCTCACCCCCTCGTCAAAGTAAACTGCACACTGAATTCAGATTATTTATCTTTCTCTCGATATGGACCTAAACGCGAGTGAAGTCTAATCTGACAGGACGGAGACACCTCTCAAACTACCTAAACTAGTTATAAATATGTTTATTTTTACTGTCGGCCGGGTCACTCATTACTGGATCAGCTGCTGCATGAGACAGACACTGACGCTGTCCGAAGAGAGGGAGGAAAAAGAGAGGCTCCGTGTATTTTATTATTATATTATATAGAGTCGTTATTCATTTGTTTTAAAGCTCAATAAATAACAAAGAAGACCTTTGACCGGCACTTTTATAATTTTGTCGGAAGATTTCAACTTTAATACACGTTGACTGGCGAAAAACTCTGCCCGGTTCCCTCGGCCCCCACCGCGGAGAATAAACAGAAGGGCAACCATGACAACCATGCTTCTTCGCTGCTTTTGTGGAAGAAGTTACAGCGCGACGTACAGGCTCCTGCATATGTACTGCAGCTTCTCCAGCGGTTGGAGCTAAACGGAGCGGTCTCGTATGGACAGACACTATCCGGATGACTATTGCGTGTGGACGGAAGCTTTTTTGCGATTGCGTTTGTGCTAATCCTATGCGTTTAGCCGTTTTCGTCCTCGTGTGGCCGGGGCATTAATGGGCTCCAGTCATAAAACTTCAAACACCACTCCTAAAAGGACTAAAAAAACATTCAGTTCAAAGTAAAATACTCAAACTAACATTAAACAAAATAACCAAAACTTTGATTCTGGGGATTTGACAGAAAAATGAATAAATAAGCCCTAATCAAAGTTAGCTGAAAAACGCAGACATAAGAACATGTTGAAATATAAAAGCACACTGTTTATCAGAAGCTTCTGTTATTCAGGCTGTGGAATAAAAACACTTTCTCTTAAAGTCGCCTTGAGAGGGTTTTCAAGTTAACTTTCTCACATTTGGGACAAGCCAATGTATTTCGGGTGTGTTTTGCAGAACTGATGATTAACCGACTGCAAATTGCCTTAATGGCCTGAATGGACAGCTAAAATGTTTTCGTTATTCCGTCAACTACTTTAGTCCAGACTGAAATATATTTACTTTTAAACAGATTTCCATGAAACGTTAGGCAGATATTCATGATCCTCAGGGGATGAACCCTGACAAACTTGTGGCTCACATTTAGGTTTTGGGTGAAAACACTTCATACATATTGAATGTGTGACCATGACATTTAACAATGGATATGATGGATAATCAATGACCATAGAGAAGAAAGTGTATCTTTCATTGGTGAACTCAAGATCTCTTATCTAGCGCCATCATCAGGTTCAAACTTAGATGTTTCCCAAATCTTTGGTTTGTGACCAAATAGCTGCAAAACCAATGACATTCCCAAACGTTTCAGCCATACAGCTATACAGTTAAGATTTAAACCATAAACTGTAATCATATTGTTTTGCTCGCAGACAATCACTGCAAGCGTTCTTCAATTAAATGCGACTTGTAATTGGAGTTAAAGTTGAACGCTTTCTGCAGAGTTGGGAGATCAGTGTCCCAAGATGCCTCCAAAATATGTCAAAGTATGGCTGTAGCACGGGGTAGCAAACCATCAGCATGATGACATTACTATGAGCATGTTAACATTTAGCTCAAAGCAGAGCATGGCATCTAGATCCTGTCTCACAAAGCAGTTGGGAGGAAAACTTGATGCTGGTCGGCTCGAAGCCACATCTGTAATCGCTGCCAAGCAGTGTGCGAACTATACCACGGTCTCCGGGGGAGCCGGGATTTATTTTTTTGCGGGGGGGGGGGGGGGGGTAAATGCTGATCCGTGCATTAATAGCAACAGCACAGACATAGGCCTATTATAAAGAGAAAATCTGTTGCACACGGGGTGGTGCCACAGGTCTACATTTACATGAAACGTCCCGATGGATCATGTTCATGTCAACAGATTTCCCGAGCATGTATGGGCTACGCAAACTTCAATCAACTTGATAATAAATAATCCACGGACCATCAATGTAACGTTTGACTGTTTAATTAAATCAACTTAAAATGACTCAAAAACAGGCTACATTGTTTCACATGGGCTATAGCCTATTATGGCTGTAGCCCACACAGAGCCGAACACACGCGATAAGAGCAGCCAGCGGCACCAACCATGAACAATATTAAATAGTAAAACCAGTGTGAACAAAATAAAAGCACTCATACCAGAAATAAAAGGACACATGAGAGAAAAAGGAAAGGCCTCACGTGTGCAAACTCATTTAGAGAAATTAATTCAACTGGGTGAAAAAGCCATTATTTCACATGAAATGTTGATTCCTTTACTCCCAGAGGATTAACTGAAGAAACAAAAGGAATGGTTTGCCAGTATCTTGGAATACAGTGAAAGCTTTCAGAGAGACATTAAACAGTGGTTAAAAGAGCCACAAGAGGATTTTACCACAATAACTGCTGCTGTGCTGGATATTCCAACAACAGATGACATGCAAGAGGATGTACAACCAAGTGACAGTGTGTCAAACGTGGAAATCGGAAGAAGAGCAACCCGATCACAAAATTCTGCTTTGGGGAAAAAGTCTGCAACTTCTACTGCTTCGTCTGCATGCCTTAAAACAGAGGCTGACTTGGCAGCTTTAATGGCAAGAAATAAACGATTAAAGGACAAACATGAACTGGAGGAAGAGGAGGAGCGAATAAGGAGCAAACTTCAGATGAGGAGGAACGAATAAGGAGGAGAAAGGAGCAACTTCAGATGGAGGAGGATATTGCAGCACACATTGCTAAATTAGATGTGTTGCAAACAGGGAGCATCCTAAGTGGGAAAAGTTCAAAGACAAGGCATTCGGATGGAATGAACTCTTACATTGAACAAAGAAACATTAAACCACAAGTCCTCTACACTGCTAAGGACAATATAAATGCTCCACAAATGTTGCTAAACCAAAGGGAGGCTAGCATTGACTTCTTCGATCCAACAACACGGCCTAATAAGAACATTTCACCTTGGTTCCTTTCCTCAGAGCCAGTATCCCAGAAAAAATCCACTTTGAAAACACAAATGAATTATGGAGATAGCTTGAACGCAAGTGAAGATCAAAACAACATACTGGGCATTATGAGAAAACAAAATGAAATAACCACACTGTTAATACAACAGCAATGCCTTTCATCCTTGCCAAAGAGAGAGATTCCAGTTTTTGATGGCGACCCGTTAAAATATCACACATTTATGAAGGCTTTTGAGAATGGTGTTGAGAAAAACACAAACAGCTACAGTGACCAACTCTACTTTCTGGAGCAGTACGCTCGGGGTCATCCCAAAGGACTTGTTGGAAGTTGCCAGCACATGGATCCAGAGAGGGGATACATCAAGGCTAAAGCTCTAATCCAGGAGCAGTTTGGAAATGAGCAGAAAGTGGCATCTGCTTATTTGCAAAAGGCTCTTTCATGGCCTCCTATAAGAACAGACGATGTTAAGGCTCTGCAAGACCACAGCTTCTTCCTTAGAGCGTGTGCAAACGCAATGGAAGAGGTGCAGTATTTGCATGAGCTTGACATGGCTGCGAATATGATGATCATAATAAGAAAGTTACCTTACCATTTCAGAGACAAGTGGAGAACTGTAGCCTGTGAGCTGCAGGAGAGGAACAGCCGCAGAGCAACATTCTTTGACATCACACACTTCATTGAGAGACAAGTTAAAATCTTAACTGACCCAGTATTTGGAAACATTCAAGATGCTCCCTTCATAACAACAAATACTGCTTTAAACAGATCACAGCCTCGCTCACATTTCGTAGGAACTAGCTTTGCCACCACTGTAGCTCTTGTAGAAAAAGAAACCCAGACAGATACTGAAGGGAAGGAACACATTCTGACAAGATGGAGGACATGTTTGTGCTGCGGAGGAGGTCACACCTTGGACTCGTGCCATCAGCTTGAAAAAGGAACACACAAAGAGAAGATAGGCTTCTTGATGGAAAAAGGTGTCTGTTTCGGCTGTTTGTGTGTGGGGCACATTAGCAGAAATTGCAATAAGCGAATTTCCTGTTCAAAATGTGGCTTCAAACATCCAACCATACTTCACATCCCTTCCAATGAAGCAAGACACAATCCTGCTCAAGCCAAGAATACATCAGAGCTATCAGTGGACAGCGCACTGG